GTATGCTGACGAGAGTTACGCTAGCACAATTACGGGCCTTAGTCCTGATTACGAAAAGCACAACTTCTTCATTGTAATGGAGCCAAAGCTGGGCGTACCGCTAGAGGTGAACGCAAATGTTATGGTCAGCCTGCACATACGAAATGACAGTGATATTACGTGAGTACGCAATTTAGAGAGTTCTGAAATTTATACTAAATATATATGTGCTTGCAGGATATTGCGCGATATAACCGATTTTTATGCGCCACTCTTCGTTACCTCCAGCAAGGCTGTGATCGATAAAAAACTTGCAAGGGAAGTAAAGGTATGTATATCTAGTCTTTTTTTTCTTCATAAGTAATTAGAAATACATTTTATTAACTAAATACAATTTTTCGCCGTTTTCAGCTTGCATTGAGTTTGCCCGATATTGGATTCTACATGGGAATCACCTTTATTTCTATAGGCAGTATACTTGCAATCATCGGTATATATTTAACGGTCACCCGTCGCTGGTATGGAGAACGGAAGTTATCTAAGGACTAGAAGTCAAGTACAAGTATTTTTATGATAAAATCTGATAATTATGATATTGTTAAATGTAATATATGTATGTATGTATGTTGTAAGCTGCAGATACTTCCTACCCATACTTTCGTTTTTTCCTGAAATTGTATGTACTGTTAAAGGATGACGACCGCATGGATTTTTACACTACGCCGTGAAAAAAAATTTAATTACGTCAACTAAAAACATTTCTCTAAACCAGGATTTGGGAACTACATACATATGTGGAATCGATGTAAATGTATACGTCTCTTTGAACTTGCTGTCATAGGAGTTCCAGCAGGATTATCAAAAGTATACAAAGAATTTTGTGCACTCGGACAGCTTCAAGATAGTTTAAAGAAGAATTATAATAAGCGGAAAACAATTTGCTAAAACGCCGCTGGTTTGCTCAAGTTGTTGTTTTTTTTTTTTTGGAAATGCGACTTGTTATTAGTATATGTATGTATATTAGGGTGGTCCTTTAATATATGAAGCAAATTTTTACATCTCATTTCCTAAGGTTCAAACCCTACGTCGAAATTATCGCATGTAAATTTTGGTCCCGATTGGAGACGGTTAAGGCTTGTCGCACAGAGGTTATTTATTTATTTAAGAAAGCTTATATAATATTAACAATCATTATATAACTTATGAAAATGCAGCGCTACCACGCACAGTTCCGAATACGCTATGAAAACGTCTTAACCGACTGCAATCGGGACCCTAGATTTATATGCGATATCTTCGATTCTAGTAGTATCGATCTTTTTTGGCTTTTAAATGAAAAAATTATTTTTAATTTTTGAGTCCATAGAGGCATGTGGCATTTGACACCTACGTATGAGACACGGCTTAACTTTCTCCAATGGGGACCAAATTTTGTATGTTATATCTGTGACCGTGGTATTACAGATTGAGGGTGTCTTAAAAATCCGCCCATTTAATTTGTAGGACTACCCTAGTACAAATTTCTACTGGTGCTTGAAAACCGATGCACAACCACTAAAATATCTACTAACGAAAACATAAAAAAGAGCGATTAATTTTTTTTTGATCAAACATTTATTACAAACATAGTATGCTTAGCATTAGGGATGTTAATTTTTTCCAGCTTTTTACGAACCCGGAATTTTCAAGATGTAGTTATCACAATCCCGGTATCAGTTCCGGGATTTAGATATTCATTACTTTTCAACAACTGAAATCGAAAAAATTTAGGAGATACTACCATAAAATAAGTAATAAATAAATGGGGTTAAAACCTACTTTTTTATTAAAAGTGGTGTTTTTATTTTTTCTCTCTGACGCCAGGATTTATTTTAGATGACTGTAATTTCAAAGATATGATTAATTCCAAGCATAATTATTTCAAAAATTCAATGCAATGTAGAATAAAAATTTATTTAGAATTTAAAAAAATTTAATTTTTTGGAGTCACAAGAACGAATAGGTGTAATTTTTTAAGCTGATAAAATCAGAAGGACGAAATTCGAGGAAGTTGTCGAGTTTATATAAGTCCTTAACATATAATTTTTCAAAAGTAAATATTACGAAATTTCAAGGATAACATTTTTAAAGGACATTTTCAATACTTACTAGTCCTTATGTACCAAAAAATTTTGTCTTATTAAATTCTGCAGAATTTCCTCTTTAATTTGATACCCATACTTCTTCTCTAAGAACATTACACTGAACTTTTTAANTTTCTCTCTGACGCCAGGATTTATTTTAGATGACTGTAATTTCAAAGATATGATTAATTCCAAGCATAATTATTTCAAAAATTCAATGCAATGTAGAATAAAAATTTATTTAGAATTTAAAAAAATTTAATTTTTTGGAGTCACAAGAACGAATAGGTGTAATTTTTTAAGCTGATAAAATCAGAAGGACGAAATTCGAGGAAGTTGTCGAGTTTATATAAGTCCTTAACATATAATTTTTCAAAAGTAAATATTACGAAATTTCAAGGATAACATTTTTAAAGGACATTTTCAATACTTACTAGTCCTTATGTACCAAAAAATTTTGTCTTATTAAATTCTGCAGAATTTCCTCTTTAATTTGATACCCATACTTCTTCTCTAAGAACATTCCACTGAACTTTTTAAAATCATTTTTGAATTACTGACGTCAGAGTGAAAAACTTAAAACGCAATTTTACTATATTTGTCTCATGGTTTCGCGAATATATTTATTTTTGTGTGTCAAATTTACTATAGCACGGTGTTATATGTATAAGCCAGACATTTATAAAAAATATTAATTATTAATAAAAAAAAACGAAATATAGCCAATACTGAGCAAGGAAATAAAGTTTCATAAATGCCGTCAGTGCCAACTACAAATCCCGAAAATCCCGGGATTTTTGGTACCTAGCAGTGATTGGCATTCCTACTTAGCATACATACTTGCTATACATTGTTCTTAAAATGAGCATTTCAAAATTTGTCTCGCCATTGCTTTGCGCATTCGGATGCCAGTTTCAAAAACAAACATCGATGTATTTCTTTCATGCGATGCATACAAGATGTATGTTTGATGTACATCGATTTGCATAGGATTTTTCGATATTGTATCACAACAAAATATGTTATTAGCGAAATTGTACAAAATCTTAAATTAAGTGGTAGAACTGAGCTAATTCGATTTCTAACGGACTGTTGAGTTTGGACAAAAGCTTATTCGTAAAACCAAAGAAATCATAGATATTTAAATTTTTAAGTCATCAAACAATCTCTTTTAATTTTCTGGTTAAAAAAAAACCCCATTGATTGCAGGTATGTTGTCCATTTCATTCGATATTATTTTTCCTGAATACATATAACTTAAAAAGAAATTTAATTTCACTAGTATCGCCCAGTTGTTGAAATTCGATATCTGCTAACTGACTTCGAAAAAGGAAGAAGGTTATCAATTCATCGGAATATTATTTTTTATGTACGTTGCCGGGCAACTTTGGACCATGTGAACCGTTTTCGATTACTTTTTAAGTAACTTTGGCTTAAATTGCATGCCAGCAAGTACTGGAACAAAAACTTTCAAACGGTTTATGAAGGCATAGTTTATCATTTGAAACTAAATATTTTCTCAAACACAAATTTAAGAATGGGTTGAGAAATATTTAAGAAAAAATTTGTTAGCAATCGATTCCTTTCTATCTATATCAATATGACATAGATGTCGAAGTCTATCGCTGGTCTGCTACATCAGCCGCAAAATGGCTCCTCGACGATACGTCGCTGTTATTCGCAATTTGTCTGTCGGGAAAATGGAACCTCCTTCGAATGAATTAAATTGCATTTAATTGAGTGATTTAAGTAAAAACTTGTTGATAAAATCATTTTGGGATTGATCTGTTTGTGACTTATCCGCCAATTTGGTCTACTAACTGCCCATTAATATTTAAAAACGAAAGAAATAAATAATCTGCTGCATCAGTAGTTCCCTACAGTTTGTCTGGTTAAACTGATTTTAGAAAAGGACTGATTTTGAAATGCGTCTCAAATTAAAATTGTAACAAAAATATTTATTGGTATCTGTTGGTTAATGTCAATTCTAAGAACAGTGCAATCCGGTTATAATGGACTCCACGGGACTGCGTCAAATTGTCCATTATAACCGAGTGCCCATTTTATCAGAATATCATAATTTTAAATAACAAAAAAATAATGTACATATACATACAATAATTGTATAATTTTCCCGTTTTCCGTTCCGAAATTTTTCTTAAAGTGAACAACACGTAGATTAAAAATCAACGAACCGTCACTTACACTCTACCGCAGAGGCTGATTGCCTATTTTTACAGATTTCGGAGAAGCATTGAACTTTTTCTATGTTTTATAGACATTTTCTGTTCCAGAGACGGTTGCCGAACTTTGTTCATAGCAGAGTTTTTTTTTATTTTGCCTTGACAGCCCCGGTTATAATGGACAAAAACCGAAAATTTTATCTATTATAGGCGGAGCCTGTTATAAAAGAGTCTATTTTAAGAGAGTTTTTTTCATATGTTTAAACTGGGACTTGAGAAATAGGTACATAATAACAGAGTTTCCCTCTTAAGCGAGTCCATTATAAATTGATTACACCGTACTAAGTCACCTCCAAAATTCTTCAGTAGCTTTCGAAATATTCATTTCTTAATAAATATAGTTTTTTTAGCCATAATTAAAATTTTGATGTAGGTTTTTTTTTCTTTATTTTGTTGCCCATTTAGCTTTTTGTCTCGAAAAGTTCTGGCAACACTGATTTTCTTTTTTATGTTTATGAGGTTTTTGGGAATTTTAGAAGCCTGCTGCAATGGTGCACCTGTGACACCAATTCCACAACGTAAAAAGTGCAGTCCTGCCTAAAGCGAAATTTATTTCCATGTCTTGTGAAGCAAGGAAATGAGGAAGTAAAAAAATCAATTTTTTTAGACATTGTATGCATATTCCTACAAAGTCCATTAAAATGAGCTAAATCTATCATTTTCCTATTTTGCATAGTGCACTCATATTTAAATACCTTGGCAGCACTCCCTCCATTTGAAAGCACTTCCCAAAGATTGGATTACTCTCATTGGGCACATAATACGCACGATTCGCAATAGTCTTGCCGCCTAAATGCAATTTGACGTAAGCATCCGATTTGGTGCTCTTATCATGTGGACGCAATTGTACGCCTTGCACCACATAAACGCGCACAATAATCTTGGTGAGATCGGTGAGTGTGTGCAATTCGGCCTGGTAACGCGGATTCAGCGCCGCTGCTAATGGGCGTAACATTATGCCATCTCCGCCATCATTGGTGCCGCACTTGCAGGGTACCAACTTAATGTTCAATTTCAGTGTCGCATATGTTTCTTCTTTTGGCATTGAATTCTTTTTATACCTTACACCATGCACCAATTTGACGGGTTCGGCCCAATCGTGCAAATAGCTGAAATCAGCCTGACGCTCCAACTCGTTGTGATAGATGACCAGACTGTGCTTGTATAAATGCGAATGGTCACCAGTTTCCTGAATGGTGATTTNTGCAAATAGCTGAAATCAGCCTGACGCTCCAACTCGTTGTGATAGATGACCAGACTGTGCTTGTATAAATGCGAATGGTCACCAGTTTCCTGAATGGTGATTTCGTTTGTAAATTATGTGAATCTATGTATATGCACCACTTTGTTGCACTTACCTGATATGTATAAATCGAATTGTAATATTTCGTCCACCAACTGTATTGCGTTTCATCGATGACCTGCTCCAAATCGAGTTTTTCGATTGGTGGTAGTTTTGTAGGATCTTTGGATTTTCTGAAGGCACTCAATGTACGCTGGAATATTGTTTGTTTGCTTCTGTTCAGTAGCGGCTCAGTTTCATTGTCCTCCATCTCGGCTATCTGCAGCATCGTGGGTGCTTCATCACCCGGCATTGCCGGTATACATTTCACTGACTTGTCTACTTGAAGAAAACGTTTCGAGTCGGCTATCAAAACGGCACCCAATGTTGTTTCGGCACCCTTTGCTGAAACAGATACATCTGTCGCAATAATTGCAGGCCAATATTCCAGCTGCTCAGGCAGGCTCTGAAAGAGAAAT